TTATACAGTCTTTGTCAATTATACCTCAATAAACTTTTAGGGGCACCAGGGTGGCTCAGGCAGTTGGATGTCTGATTCTTGGTCTTGGCTCAGGTCGTGATCTCATGGGTCGTGGGATTGAGCCCTGTGTCTGGCTCCGCACTCAGTGGGGAGTCTGATTGAAGAGTCCCTCCCTCTGCCCCTCCCCACCACTCATGCTCTCTCTCTCCCTCTCTCTCTTTCAATCCCTCTAAAATAAATAAATCCTTAGAAAAAAGATTTTTTTTGAAAAGGAATGAAGGGTAATTTCTCTAGTGATCTTGCAAGTACTAAAAGGATAATCAAGGCCCATCATGAAAAACTGTGCATGTAGTTCAACAACTTAGATGAACTAGACCAACTCTTTAAAAACTACAAGCTATGAAACTCTTGCAAACAATGAGATAACTTGAATAATCCTATAATTGTTACAGAAATAAAATTTGTAGCTAAAAATCATCCAAATAGGAAGTCTTTTGGACCAGATAGTTTTTCTGGCAAATCTACTGAGGATTTAAAGATGTTAAAGCCTCAGTATCAGCCCTGGGTCTAGGTTTCAGAGGAAGGAGATTCCAGGTCCTAGACATTGCCCTCACCATTCCTGTTAAGCTCCTGGTTTTGTCCCTGCTTCCTCAAACCAGCCCTCTGGGACCATGTCCCACTTTGAGGGTTAGAAGCCATTGTATTGTCAATTAGTAGTTGATTCCAAAATCTCCTATGTGCTTGAGCCCGTGCTAGGTGCAGAGGTGAAGCAGACTGCATCCCTAATCTCTGAGAATTTATGAGGAAGACAGTAGGTCCGGATGGATAATTAAACCTACTGTTCTTCCTTGTAGTGACAAAGCTCATACAGAACTAGCTGGGTTCACCCCTGCTCACACCATGGTTATTTTAAAGAATACATGGCAGTCCTTCTCATCGCTCCACACGGTTCCAGATGTGGACACACACACACACACACACACACACACCCCACAGTGTTTAAAGAGGTCATCCTTTGCAGAAGTGTACAGAAATTACTCAACTGAACCTTTACCATAGAGTTACCCAGCATCCCCTCTAATCCAGGGTCTGTGCTGGGTCCATCTCTTTGGAAGGGAAGAGTTTATACATTAACAGGTGCCACCTGGATGAAACACTACCACACAGAATGAGGGAATCCCGATACAATTAGGTACATTTGCTGTGGGTACATAGCGTAGGGAGCCTCTAATGATTTTGGGGGAGTGCGTGGCTCAGAAGTCTTCCAAGAAGAGGGTCTTCAAGGATGAGGAGTCTTTCAGGTGGGCAAGGAGAAGGCTGAGACTGTCCAGCAGAGAGAAAACACACCAAGTAGTAATAAAATAGCACAGTGGTCACTACGGTAACTTAGTGGTGTTGGGCAGAGGGACCCAAGAGATGAAACTGGAAGAGAGATCTGGGACGCTTGCGGAAGGATGGGCTTCGTTAATCACATGAGGTGTAATTGATTTATTTTCACTTTAAATTGAACATTATTGGATATGTGTCCATGTGCACATGGTATAAAATTTAAAAAGTAGAACAGGTATATGGAGAATATTGTCGTCCTCAGCTGGACCACCCGCTCCCCCACCCAGTTTCTCTTCCTGAAGTCAGTCACCAGAACAAGTTTCCTGAGCATACCTCCAGAACTGTTTTCCCTGCATTTAAAAATATGTATCTGTACATTTGCCACACAAAGGTTGCATATTGTACTTTCTGTCCACACCTTGCCTTTCTACTTGGATATTTATTTTAGTTATTTGGAATATGGATGTACTGTAATTCACTGGGCTGGTGCTGTTGACAGAATTTAGGTCATTGCTAGTTTTGCCGTTATAAACTGTGCTTCAGTGAACATCTTTGTCCGTAAGTCCATTTACGCTTGGAAATACATCTATAGGACAAATTCTTCGTAACGGAACTGTTGGGTCCAAGAGCATAAGCGTTTTTAGTTTTATTCAATGATGCTAAGTGGCTGTCCGTGGAGGTGGTGCTGACAGCCTCTTTCCCCAGACCCTGGCCAGCAGTGTTCTTAAACTTTTTGCTCCTTTAAGCTCGGGCTTTTAGGCTTTATCCTGTGAGTGATGATGAGCCCTGGAGAGGTTTTTAAGCAGGACAGTGTCACAATCTGATCTGTATTTTGGCAAGATCACTTGGGTTGCAGTGAGGGTAAGTATTGCGCAGAGGCAAAACACTAGAGTTGTGATTGCCAGCTGGGAGACTTGAAAGGGGTCCAGGCGAGACGGAATTGTTGGCAGCATGGTTTTGGCGGTTGGCAGGGGAGACAGAGAAGGGAATGGGTATTGAGACCCTGAGGAAGTAGGTTTGATAGGACTCAGGGACTGATCAGGCTTGGGGATGGGGGAGAGAAGAGAGCTTTAATCAAAGGCTGTAGGGGCACCTGGTTGACTCAGTTAGTAGAGTGTGTGACTCTTGATCTCAGGGTTGTGAGTTTGAGCCCCATGTTGGGCATAGAGATGACTTAAAAATAAAATCTTGAAAAAAAAATCAAAGAAACTCTGTTCCCTTGAGATTTATGCAAAGTCAGCATTTTCTTTGTAAATTTATGGATTTTATGCCTGTGTTAATGCTTCCTAATCCTAGAATACCAGGAGTTAACAGAAGGTTCTAATGTATTATTATCCGCTGTCTGTTGGCTCCAAGGGGTTTTTGTCTATTAGTCTCTTACTGGTTGTTGGAGAAGTTAGAGCAGCATTTTTACGAACATTCTTTGGCCACTCAGATTTATTTGATGGCTTCTGAAAATCACCACACTCTTATTTTTCCCATATTTGAATGAATGGTATCATTCATTCAAAATCCCATATTCAATAACTTTAAATTCTATACTTAATTCAAATGTAGTTTAATTATATATATTTTAAAGTCTTTCTTTATGTGATCCTTTGGTTTTGTGTGTGGTTCTTCTGATAACTAGAGATATTTGTATGTGGTAATATATAATATATATTTTATATTTTATATGCTACCATTAGGTATTTCCTCTGTTCAGGGTCTTAATTTTTCATGACAGCTATGATCATGTCATTTTTTCCCTGTCATTTTCCATCTCATACTAGCCCCACATCTTCTATCTAGGCGATTATCTCTGTATAGTTAGATATCCTGTATTTCTGTTACCTGGTTTTTCCAGCTTTGGCTAAATCTTTGGTTCCTGGCTTGTATAGGTGATAGACTCCACTTGTCACCTTCTTACTCCTTCCACTTTTTGTACAAGTTGTATCATTTCTGCCTGCTCAGGGCGTAGAACGCTGACATTTTCCTCTGCCACTCTAAACCCCTTTGAGTGTGGTCTTGATTATATAATTAATACATATTTAATGCTCAGCAAGAATTTTGCTGTGGTTCCCCTAATCATCTTTCGGCTGACCGGAGTATGTTCTCTGGTAGTGTGCTCAAGCGGGCTCATGGGAATGATATTCCCGAAGTCCTCGTATGTTCAAAGACAACCTTCCTATGCTTGGAGATTTTCAGGAAGTTCCTTCAGAAGCGTGTTTTTTTGCGGGTGTTTTCTGAGATGGGCTGCCGCTGGGCCGTTCCTCTCTCCTCTGCCTGTGTCCGCTGGACGTCAGCCTTGGGCGTCTTCTGGGTGATTCCCACCCAGCTCTCCGCGGCCCCACAGCTCTCGTTGGAGGGGGGGCTCTGGGTGCTCATCACACCGGGAGGAGTCCTGTGCCCACAGTAACTGCGCTTGGCGGCCACTCTCTGAGCCCCGCAGAGCCCTTCACTCTCCGCCTGCCCCAGTGCTCTCATGGTTTCTTCTCTCCCCGCGGCTTTCGTTCAGAGCGGCCTCCAGCGACTCCGCTACCTCCCTGCGGCAGCCCCTGCTCGGTTTTTCTTTTCTTTTACTTTTTTTGGGTTTTTTTTTTTGAGACTATAAGTTTTATATGCCTCCAGTTTCACTCATGATGAAGTTTAATATTTTTTTCTTGTTTCTATTGTTGCTTTTGATTATATTGGGGAGGAAAAGAGGCAACTTGTCTCTTGTGCCACTATGTTTAGACCAGAAGTCCTTTAATTACGTTGGACGGGATGGCATTCTCCCGTATTCTCTCCAGCTTGAAGTGAGACACAGCCGGCTTCTGGGCTGACTTCTACCACTTCCTGTCTGACGGTGGACAATCACCTTTCTCTTTTGGCCATGGGTGTGTTCCTACCTATTAGGTTAACGTTTTTTAAAGAAATGTTTTTAAAGATTTTTATTTTTCCATAATCTCTACACCCAGTGTGGGGTCTGAACTCACGACCCCGAGTTCAAGAGTTGTGCGCTCTACCGTCTGAGTGACAATGGAGAGAGCGCTCACAACTATTTCACACCGTGAGGAGTAAGTGAGGTCATGCATGTGTAACAAATAGGGGCCTAGGATAGTGATTTGCAATTAAATAGGGCATTCGAAAGGGTAGTAGCATATACTTCATTGATTTCTCCGGCACAGGTGGTGTCCCGAGTGACTGTAACCTCTGTGTTCGGATGACATCACACTGGTACCACTCGCTCTATGGTAATGGCAGATGCTGCCATGGAGCCCCTTGTCAGGAGACCCTTCGGCTCTCTCCCTTGTTGCCTGTAATTCTACCTGGTGGCAGTTAATGCCAAAAAAGAGGGACAGATCAATTTGCTCAGAAGCCTTGAAGAGGGGACCCTCTCCTCCAAATAGCAGGGATGAGGGGTCTTTCAGGGAAGGCAGGTTTTTCTTCAGGGAGAGGTGGGAAGGGCCAGAGCTAGACCTGGATTCTGGATATTCCTTGGGATATCCAACGATATCAGGGATTGGGATGGGGGGATTGGGACTTTGCCACATGTCCTTTGCCTCCAACCCCTAGCAGGCCTGGAAAACCAGGTGGCGGGAATACGGTCGGGCTCATCTGGGTGAGGTCAGAGGAGGCTGGGACGCCAGGCTGAGAGAGATCCTAAGGCTCGCGTGGTCAAGCTCTTCCTCTCCTCCACGTGTTCTCAGGTCCCGGAATCCCAGGCAAGCCCGGCTCCTACCGCGCTGGCCGCCAACACCGCCGACATGGTCTCTGTGGGTTGCAGTGACTCCAGAAGCCGGGGCATCGTTGAGCCCATGGACACAGACACCCAGGAAGCTGGGAGGACATCTGCTGACCAGAAACGTGGAGGCAAGAAGAATACAGAGGCTGATGGGAAGATGCAGGTGGATGGGAGGACCCAGGGAGACAGGACACAGGCCACCCAGACGACACAGGCAGATAGGAAGAGCGGGGTGGACATTGGGCCACGAGAAAGTGAGAGGCCAGCATCCGCCAGGAGGTCCCAGGAGGATGTGGTGGCCCAGGGAAGGGCAGGGACGCAGGTGGAAAGGACACAGAGGAAGGAGGACACAGGCAGGAGGATGCAGGAAGACAGAGGGACACGGTCTGAGGAGAGCACACCCACAGCCATGAAAGGTCAGTCCGAGAAGGGCTCCGTGAGCAGCCCTGGCGCACAGTCCAGTGAGTGTTTCGACCAGACCCCTGAAGGGCCCTCTGTCCCAGAAGAACCTGGTTTTGTGCTCAGATCTGAAGAAGCGGCACTCACAGCCCCCAGGAGCTACGAGCCAGCACTTCTGGCTGCCCCAGGAGGCGGTCGCACGCTCCCAGTCCAGCGGCCTCTCCAGGGTGGTCTGGAGCAGCGGGGAGGGCCTGAGTGGCCGGGGCTGGTTAAGGACAAGTCAGAGGATGGCCTGATCCCAGGCCCCAAGGAGGAGCAACTGAAGGAGGTGCTGTCCGTGGATCTAGGTGGCTGTCCTCCAGCTGGCCGGAGCCCGGAGGTGCCCACTGTACCCTCTCCTCCCAGGCGGGCCCTGACCACGAGCTCTCGGGAGGCTCCGCCCAGCACTCCGGCCCCTGAGCACACGTGTGCTGCTGCCTTCCTGCCCTCTGGGGACCAGGCCTTGCTGAGGCCGGCTCCCCCACTGTCCCTGGGGCCAGAGACCCCCACCCAGAGTCACCCACCAGCAGCCATGTCTGCCACCAGCGAGGGGGCCTGTGCCCCAGGGCCGGATGCGGAGGGGAGGCCCCCGGGTCCCCAGAGCTGCGACCCCGGCCTCATAGACTCCCTGAAGAACTACCTGCTTCTGCTGCTGAAGCTCTCCAGCACAGAGCCGGGGGGCGGGGGCGCCGAGGCGCAGGGGGCAGCCGCCGCTGGGGCTCCGGTGTCCTCAGCCGCTCTGGTCCCCGACGTGGAGGTGGCCGGTCTGAGTCCCCGGACGTCCAGGCGCATCCTGGAGCGCGTGGAGAACAACCATCTAGTGCAGAGCGCCCAGAGCCTGGCGCTGAGCCCCTGCACCTCCCGCCGCCTCACCGGCCTCCTGGATCGTGAGGTGCAGGCTGGCCGTCGGGCCCTCGCAGCAGCCCGGGGCCCTGGCCCCAGCAGCCTCACCGTCCCTGCCATCGTGGTAGGTGAGGAGGGGGCCTCCGAAGGATCCAGTGAGGGCGAGGCTGAGGGTCCTCCCGAGGGGCCTGGGCTCCCAGGGGCCTCCCCGGAGAGCGGTGTACGCGGGTGGCTGGGGGAGACGAGTGGGCAGACGGCCTCGGGTCCAGGAGCACTCCCAGCAGACAGAAGGGCCCAGGAGCCCTTCCAGGAGGAGGAGGCCCCAGGGGAGGCCCTGACAGGCCTCCCCGCAGCGACACCGGAGGAGCTAGCTTTGGGGGCCCGGAGGAAGAGGTTTCTCCCCAAGGTCAGAGCAGGAGGAGATGGGGAAGGAGCCAAGGCTGAAGAAAGGGAGAGCCCCACGGTTTCCCCTCGGGGGCCCAGGAAGGGCCTGGCACCCGGGTCCCCGGGGACCCCAGGGCGGGAGAAACGTTCCCCAACCCAGGGTAGAAAGGCCGGCATGTTGGAGGTGCCGCGGGCAGAGGACGAGCTGGCAGCAGGAGACCTGGGCTCCGGCCCCAAGGCCAGCAGTGCGGACGCAGAGCAAGTCCTGGATGAAGGCAAGCAGGACGCTTCGGCCAAGTCCAAGAAAGCCAAAGACCTGCTGAAAGGTGAGCAATGGGGAGGGTCGGGGAGGGCTTCAGGGGAGAGGGTTGCACACCACAGTGGGGGGAGGGGCACAACCAAGAGTGGTTTACAGCGCCCTTCCTAAAACAGTCTCCTGGAACTAGACCCCCTTCCGAGGGCTAGTTCTCATCCTGGCTCTGCCACGCAGGACGGGGGCACAGTACAAACTGTGTGCCACCGAGGGTGAAGTGGGATGGAAGAAATCAGGTCCTGAGCGCGGGGCTGCCTTTCCCAGGTAGTCCTAGGTCTGGCGCCTTTGTCCCCGCTGTCCCCTCTGCACAGACTTGTCCCGGGAGGACAGAGCAGGAGGGTCGGGATCCCGATGCAGGTTCCTCGAGTTAGGGCCTAGAACCCAAACTGGAGTCCTCTCTCTCTCGCTCTCCTGCCACAAGAGCCTTGCATTTTATTTGAGGAGAAGATTTATGTTTCGTTGTTGTGTTTTCTTTGTTCTTTTTAGTGAACTCAGTTCCTTTAATAGATGTAAGGCTGCTTGCGTTATCTGTTTACTCTTGGCTGGGCTTTCCTAGCCAGTACCATCCCGCGAGTTCTCTCTTTTCATCTATAAAACCAATGTCGCAGCTCATATTTGCCACAGCATCCTCTGTGATCCATTTCATCCCTGAAGGTTCTGACACAACCTTGGGCATTTCTGATTCTGGTCATTTATGTTGCTGTTTCTTCTTCCCACTTAGGCATTTGATTTCTCATGGATTTTTGTTGTTGTTGTTGTTGTTTTTAAATTTGAGTATAGTTGTAATACCATGTATAAGAATGTAATATGTGTATCTATAATATAATGTGTGTGTATAGAAATAACATGGTATCATTAAACACAATGTTACGTTCGTATCACAGTGATTCAACAATTACCTATGTCACACTGTGCTCCCCACAAGTGCAGCTGCCCTCTGTCCTCTCTTCTCTGCCATCTGGGTCCTGGGCTCCGAGGCTGTCCCAGGCCTGGGGTGGGGGCCCAGGAGTGGGACCTTTCCAGCTAGGATGTGTGCTTTGCGGTCAGAGCCAACGGCTCAGAGATACACACGGGATGAGGCTGGGGGCCAGGAAGGGTGGGTTGGTATGGGGGCTTGAATCCTGTTTCCTCTCGGCCCGTCCCACTAAGCACATGCAGGGAAGCAGGGATGGGGCCAAGGTGGCGGGGAAGTGGCTTGTCCCTCTCAATTGGGCCCCTGCTCTCAGCCCCACAGGTGATCCGGAAGATTCGGGTGGAGCAGTTTCCTGATGCCTCGGGCAGCCTGAAGCTCTGGTGTCAGTTTTTCAACATTCTCAGTGACTCAGTCTTGACGTGGGCCAAGGATCAGTGCCCAGTGGGCGAGGTGGGCAGGAGGTAAGCCAGCCAGATACCACGCCCACCTGGCCTGACTCCCCAGGTGCAGCGACAGTAACACGGGGCGTGTTTCCCCCACTGTGGATTTCCCACTGTCCATCATGCAAGGCTCAAGGTAACCCTACGAGGGAGACGCTAGTATTTCCTTGGTAGGGAGGAGAAAGTTGAGGCTTGGTGGCATCAAATCACTTGCCAAGTCACACAGCTAGGGGGCATCAAGATAGCCACCCAGACCTGTGTGACCCAGGACTACCCCTTGACTATAGTACCTCTCGCCCCCCTGCCTGAGCTCTCAGAGCCTGGGTCCACGGCAGCCTCGGAGGGCAGGGCATGACCTTCCTCAGGACCACAGTCTGGCCCCGGGCTGTGCACAGCAATGGACCTCACGGGGAGGGTCTCCCTTCTCTGCAGTGCCGGGGACGAGGGGCCGGCAGCCTTGGCCATCGTGCAGGCGTCCTCCGTTGACTGTGGCGTGTACCGATGCACCATCAACAATGAGCACGGTTCCGCCTCTACCGACTTCTGCCTCAGCCCCGAGGGTGAGCGGGCCCCCTCCCACGCTCTCTGTCCTGCCTGGCTCCGGGGCCGGGGGGAGAGGGGCGGGCAGCGGTCATCTGTGCAGAGAGGGTGCTCTCTCCAGGCAGGCCAGCCTGAGGGCAGCTGCTTCCTCTTCTTTTTTTCCACACAGTGTTGTCGGGATTCATCTCCAGAGAAGAAGGTGAAGGTATGATGCCCATATGGGGGAGGGGCAAGTGGCCCTCATCCCTACTCCTGCCATCCTCTGGGAGGACCTACTCTATCCATTCCAAGTGCTGTGTTTACCTCCACACACAGCTATGCTGGGCCTCCTCGTTTAGGATAGGGCTCGGGATGGAGGATGGGGAGGAGTGCTATTTCCGAAGATTGTGGGAGAAGGAGTGGCCAAGAGGTCCTTCCACAAGAGGTTAATTCAGCCTTGTGCCCTTGGCTCATATTGGAGCCCTTGACCAAGGGCAGGCCTGGCCGCTAGAGCCTGCCTGACCCTGCCAGCTCCTTTCCCAGAGTTTCTCACCATGCTCTGTGGGTCCCTGCCTCCAGTCCACACGGTGAGCTTGCTAGAAATGCAGTTTCCAGGGCCCTGCTGTTGATACCCTTAATCACAACATCTGGGGAAAGGGACCCAGAAAAGCAGCATCTTCAGCAGGTCTCTGGTGACTGTAGTACCCCTAAATTATAATGCGTGTCCCTGAACATTAGAGCAAAAGTCTGGGCTGCTTCCGTAGGAAACACACTGAGAATCAGGGCTGTGAAGGCAGCTGGGGATAAAATTTTAGAGCTTCGTTGCCAACTAATGCATTCATTCATTCATTTGCTCATTCACTCATTTAATCCCTCAGTCCTTCAACTAGCGTCTTTGATCAGTTGTCAAGTGCAAGCAAAATCAAATGGAAGTTCACACCTACACACTTAGCAATAGCGCGTTAACGTGCTCAAACTCTCAGTCCCACGTCCCCCGCTGTGTTGTCACGGCTGGCTTACCTGGGTTAGGAATCACTCATTGCTTTGGGCAGTCTCAAGTCTCTAACACATACCTGTTCTTGCTCATTGTTTTCCCTCTTTAGTTGTTGAAGTCGCTTGGTGGGTAGGATTTCTTGCAATCTGGATTTTGATGGTTTAATCCCATTTAACATGTTTCTCTTCTCATGTGCTTCTCCTAAACTGGTAATTCGATGGAGAGGCTTGGTCAGATTCAAGTGCAGTTCTTTGTGCGGGTGGGCAAGAACCCATCACAGGGTGCTCTGTCTGCCGCTTAGCATCCCATCCGGAGGCACATGATGTCTGATTGGTTTACTCGAGTAACGTTAAGATTGATCCCTGCGTTCGTTCCACGGTCTCCTGCCCTCTCTATCCTTTGAAAAAGTTCAAGAACTGTATCTGATACTTGTTACCTGGGGGTTCTAGCAGCTACCAGTTATTGCCCGAATCCATGACTTTGTTTGGGTTTCCAACCAGAGTATTTTAATTCTGTCATTTCTACATCCATCCGTTGAGTTTCTTCTGTAAAGGAGAAATGGTCCTTTTGTTGCCTCGAGTTGGTCCCTAGCGTCCTCCAAAGGTCACCAATGAGGTTTGGGGTTTTGTGTGTGTGTCGGGGGGAGGAGTGAGTTTTTTTCAACTACAATGATGACTGTGATTTTTGAAATATATTTGATATGTTCACCACATTGTAGAAATCATTCCTTTTGGTTGGTAAGATTGATCTGCCCCCAAGGAAGGCCCTTCCACGGCTCCTGTGTCCTTCTGTTGAGCCTCTGGGGTCTTAATGGCTTCTTCGCCTTCGGGTCAGACAGGATGTCCCAGATGCTTTGAGTCCATTTCCTGCCCGAGACCTGGACCCAGCCATTTCTTGAGGGAGCTCGGGGTCCTTTTGCAGGGAGATGGCTTGTAGAGACCACAGTCTGAGCACTGAGGCAGCCCATGCTTCTGGAAGGGTCCTGAAGCCTTTTGCAGTCAGACATGTTGGTTGAGATGGAGACATTTGTTTATTTGATCCAAACACCTAATTCCCAAACAAAATCCACACCCGGGTGGCCGCTTCCCCAGAAAAGTTGTGACTTACACAGACATTGAGCACATCCTTGCCACATGGGGGGCACGCTGAGTGCCATCAAACGGCAGGGCCTGCATCAGACAGATCCACTGCTGAGAGCTCACGGGCTGGGTTGGGCCCCGAGTTGTGCGGGCCCCTGGAGAGCAGTCGTGGGAGACAGTGAGCGTACTAGAGTGGGGGAGGGGGTACTGTTCTGGCTCTCCCTGCCCCACACACCCCCGACCTCGGTGGGGCAACAATGTCTAGTTTTCTGCACCTTTCCCTTTCCCTTGCAGTTGGAGAGGAGATTGAGATGACCCCCATGGTCTTTGCAAAGGGTCTGGCTGACTCTGGCTGCTGGGGGGACAAGCTCTTTGGACGCCTGGTGAGCGAAGAGCTACGAGGGGGTGGACATGGGTGTGGCCTGCGGAAGTCCTCCCAGGCCAAGGTCATCTACGGCCTGGAGCCCATCTTCGAGTCAGGCCGCACGTGCGTCATCAAGGTGTCCAGCCTTCTCGTGTTTGGACCCAGCAGCGAGACCTCTCTCCTGGGCAGAAACTACGACGTCACCATTCAGGTTCCATGTCCCATCCCAGGTCCCTCCTTCCCCTGTCACCTTCTCCCCTTCCCCAGCTTGGGTCCCACTGGAGGCAGAGGCTGACTGTGTGAATCCTCACGAGGCTTCTGGGACGGGTCTGCAGACGAGCTTGGCTCTGTCTTTGGGGCCATAGTTTTCAAAGCGTATTTTTTTTTTTTTTAAAGATTTTATTTATTTATTTGACAGAGATCACAGTAGGCAGAGAGGCAGGCAGAGAGAGAGGAAGGGAAGCAGGCTTCCTGCTGAGCAGAGAGCCCGATGCGGGGCTCGATCCCAGGACCCTGGGATCATGACCTGAGCCGAAGGCAGAGGCTTTAACCCACTGAGCCACCCAGGCGCCCCTCAAAGCGTATTTTTGTAGCAGAAACCTTTCTCGTTGCCTTCATGCATATCTTCCTGGACCCTCTGCGTGAGATCAAGAGAGTGACTGGGTGCAGGGGGGACAGTCTCGGTGTCTCACTCCCCACAGGGTGGGCCCTGGGGCACTGCCACTGGGGCTCCAGGGAACACAGTTTGGAAACCACTTTTGAAAACAAGCCCACAGCCTCTTGTTTTGCAAATGAGAAAACTCAGGTGCAGAGCAGGGAGCAGGGAAGGAGTGACCCCCACCTTTCCCAGGACTGGAATCCGAACCCCACCCCACCCCCGGCAGTCCTGCTGCAGCGGACCCTCCCGCTTCCAGCTGGATGTGACGGAGAGCAGCGGAGTGCCCTTGCTGACCCGACCTGGTTCTCTTTGATCCCCAGGGCTGCAAGATCCAGAACATGAGCCGGGAGTATTGCAAGATCTTTGCAGCCGAAGCCCAGGCGGCCGCTGGCTTTGGAGAGGTGCCAGAGTGAGTGCTCACAAGGAGGGGCAGGTGCTGTGCGGACCTACAGACTTGAGCTTTGGCCCAGAGCAGTGATTTCAGGGTCCATCAGCGGCATCCTGAGTTACATCCCATGCTCGGCTCCATGGTCCCCCAAAATCTAGAAGCGAAGCCCTAACTGCCCACTTTAGAAAAGCCTCTGCCCAGCTCCTGGTCTCCTCCTGCTCACCCCAGGTCCCCCCTCCTTCGCTTGTGGATGGCAGGATGCTGGGACTCTCCAAAAGGGACAGGGGAGGGGGGTAGCTAGGCCTCTAGGCCAGTGGCTCAGGACTCTTCTCAGGCGGGCAGCCAGTGTCCGTGCAGGTTTTTGCAGGAGTCAGCTATAAAGGGTCATTGTTTCCATGCTGAGACTGAACTCTGACTCTCGAACCCTGGGGTCTGGTTGGCATGGAGCAGGGTGTGGCAGCCTCCTCTCTAGAGGGGTTCCTTCCGGGTGGACGCATCCAGGTCTGGGTCCCTCGCCCAAGCTCAGGTCCTCCTGGGACCACAGCATCGTTCGGTTCTCATCCCACTGGGCTCAGGGCACGGACAGGACTCTGAAGCTGATGGCCTCATTTCCTTCCCCGAGCTCAGGGTGGAGCTGGCCTCCCTCTCCGTCCTTTGGTCTCGGAGCAGAGAATACCCTTTTTGGAAGGACCCTCCTTTTCAACCCAAGAGTGTAGACTTGGGCGGGGGGCTCCTGGGGCCGCACTTCCCGCTCACAGTGGAGTGCAACTGTATTTAGGATCCTCCCACTGTATCTCATCTACCGGCCGGCCAACAACATCCCCTACGCGACCCTGGAGGAGGACCTGGGCCGGCCCCTGCAGCCCTACTGCTCCCGGGAGTGGGGCAGTGCCCCGCCGGAGACGGCTGGCAGCTCTGAGGTCAGGCAGAAATGCCAGACTTTCCAGCACTGGCTCTATCTGTGGACAAATGGCAGCTTCCTTGTCACGGATTTGGCAGGTAGGAGTCTGGGCGGGTGTGGGTGCATGTGTGCCTGAGAACGAGAGTGTGCAGAGGGGCAGAGCCGGGTCCCCTGTGCTCCCACATTTCCTCTCCTTTGCTTTTCCCGGGAACCTGGTCAAGGACATCGGCCTCACCGGCCTTGTCCAGAACTGCCGTGGCATCCCCGGGAGCACATTCCAGGCTCCAGTTACAATTAAGAAGGAATTTAGGTCAAAGAACACGACATGGGAGCTAATGAAACACCCACACCCAAAATCTTCTCAAAATCTCCCTTCTTCCCCTCCTGGCCAATCCGCTCTGGACAGTCCCCCTCGGCAGACTCCCCAGACTCTCCCATCCTAGCTCGCTGGCTTTCCTGCCCCTTTTCCTTCCTCTCCTTCCTCCTCATCTCCTCCTCCCCCTCAGCCTGCCCTTGCCCTCTCTCCCCTCCTCTGTCTCCCTTCTTCCCCTCCTCCTCCTCTGCTTTCCTCTCCTCCCTCTCCTTCTCTTCCTCTACACCCTCCTCCTCCACTTTTGTTAGCTTTTATTACAGGATTCATCTTAGTCTTGTGACTCCTTCTTATTTCTATCTCCCCCATTCCTCAGATCCCTCCCCCATCATCAAAAGCCAATAAGCACAAATCTTCCTTTCTCTGACCAGTCCCTCCCAGGCCATGGCTGTGAGTGATTTTGCAAACCAGAATTCTGTGCACATGTCAGGGGCCATGGTTACTGGGGTGCAGAGTGGAAGGTGGCAACCCCGGCAGAGAAATGACAGGGACTAACGTCTACTGTGTGGCTGCCGTGCCCCAGACACTAAGCTAGACACCCCCTGATGCTCTTAATCGCCTGCGAGGCCGGTGGCATCCACTCCTCTGAGAGCTGTGGACTAGGGATGGTTCTTGAAGCTCGCAGAGCTCGGAAATCAGTGCCCGTATGCCCCGACTCTCATTCGTCACACCCAGCCCCAGGCCCTGGCAGTGAAAGGCAGGTTCCCAGAAGGATATGACAGCACAGTTTGAAAGTGGGGAGAGGCTCCCCCTCTAATGCATGGATGCTGGGATGCTGGGGTGGACCGGCCGGGCTGGACAGGCCACTCCCCTAAGCCCGTTCTGCCTGGTTGTGTTCTCCCAGCACCGTCCCCTCATCTCGGCTTCTTAGGGTGCATGCTTGCTGCCCATGTGAGTAGGTGGAAGCCAGTCTTCCCCACGCTTACTTTTCTGCCGGCCTAGCCCAGGTTACGTTCCCATTCCCACCTGCCCTCCCTTGCCCAGAGAGGCTAATCCCAGGCAGAAGAAGGGGCAGATGCTGGCTCAGAGCAAGAGGCCAGCCCTGCTTGTGGCCTACTGTCATGGGCTAGAGGCAGGATTGCACAGCTGGAGGGGCCTGGGGTCTAGGAGTAAGAACTGAGCTCGCACTGTGACAGCGGCTGCTGCACACTGTCAGTGCACAGTTAGCAAACGGGAAGAATGGCTGTGAACTTGCTCTAGCCCCTGACCTCTGAGCCCACCTCCTCACTTGTGGGAAGGGGGCATCATTGCTACTAACAACACCTAGACGCCCATACCGCCTGTGAGCCCGGCTAGAAGTGAGGGCACGCCCTGAGCCCTGGGACGCCCCCGTCCAGTGATAGACCTGTTTGGGGGTTGGGGGGGCCCCTGGAACCAGCCCGGGCTGCCCCAGCTTCCAGCTCTGTCTCTTTCCAGGGGTTGATTGGAAGATGACAGATGTGCAGATTGCAACCAAACTGCGAGGGTGAGTGACTGTCCGTGCCAGGAGGCCCTCTGAGAATCTTCTCAGGCTATGAAATTGTCCAAGGTCTTCTGTGTCTCCCTCCCTGAGGGGCTGGCCTGTGGCCAGATGATCCCAGTTGTAAGGGTGGCCATGTAGCCACATCCCAGACCCTCCGTGCCCCTGACTTCAGGTCTGGAGCGACAGTATTGGGGCCCCCCTCCCCCACCTGCAACCCTGGTCTCCTCTTCCTTCCAGCTAGAGAAAGTTCATCATGGTGCAGATGAGCCAGGGCCCTAGGAGGAAAGGGGGGATGCGGAGTCTGCTCTGATTGGTACGAACAAGCAGATCATCCCCACACCAGGCAGTGTGGATATGACAAACTCCTGCACCACCGTGTAGTGGAGCCTCCGTGTGGGATGGAGGTTTGGGGTGCTGCCCCCTGCTGGACTCCCCAGCACCCCCAAAAGGGTGGGGCGTGACACCCTGGCCACGGCCACCCCGCCGCAGGCCCCCGGGGGTTCTCCCTGTGGCTGGGGCTCCTGCTCAGCTCTCACTGTTTGGCTGCAGATACCAAGGCCTCAAGGAGAGCTGCTTTCCCGCCCTGCTGGACCAGTTTGCCTCTTCCCACCAGTGCAACCCTTTCTGCGAGATGCTGGGGCTCCAGCCCCTCAAAGGCCCCGAGGCTGCCCACCCTCCGGGCAAGGCCAAAGGCTCCAAGAGCCCATCCACGGGCAGGAAGGGCGGCCAGCTGAGTCCTCAGCCCCAGAAGAAAGGCCCCCCCAGTCCCCAGGGCACCCGGAAGAGTACGCCAAGCACCAAGGCCACCCCTCCAGCATCAGGGGCACTCTCCACCCAGTTACTGGGACAGCCTCCCACCCAAGAGGGCAGCTCCAAGGCCCAGGGCCTGCGGTAGCCCCCACAGGAGGCTGGGGGCCTCCACCCGGCAACAGACCAACAAGGAAGCAGCTCGAGGCGATGGAGACTTTCCGGAACTACGGAACTAACCAAAGAAGGTGTGCCGAGGAGGCGCCACGGGGGGCTCTCAGAGCAGCTCTTCTCGGTCCTCTCCTCAGTCCGCCCCTCATCGGACGGCTTTTGTACGTGGTGGCACCCGGGGGCCCCTCCTGGTGCCGCCGCTGGCTGGGGCTCCCAGGCCCCACTCCCAAGTGCCTGGCGGTCTAGCCCCTCCTTGAAGTTTACACGGGCCACTGCTGGAGGCTCCCGAGCCCTCTGCATGAGCTCTGCACCCAGCACCCCACCATAGACCCTGCCATGAATGCCGTACTCTAGGGGCGCGCCGACCAGCGGTTACCCTCTACCTTTGCTTGGCCCCGATCTCTCCCCGTCCTCGGGGCTCCAGACTTCCTGCGCTGAGTCTGGCCTGGTGACTCTCAGGGAGCTTTCTCCTTCCAGCTGCTTGGCCTCTTGCCTCCCAGCGTGTCCTGCGACTAACCTGTCACTGAGGCCACATGGGGCTCAGGGCCCTTCTAGAGCCTGTCTTGTTCTTGTGCGGTGGTCTTTGGTGATGCGTGTTCTTAGGCTCCCTCCCCCAGCACTCAGGCACTCACGCACCTGCTTGCTGTGCTCCCTTGCCCCCAGCTTCCAGCCCCCTGCAGCCTGCTGCCTCTCCTCTGCTGCCTCTCTGCCTGCCCCCTTGCCCAGGTGCTTCCCCAGCCCGACTCCGCACCCTGCACCCTGTCCGCCCCTTCCCTACCTCTCCCAGGCCCTCTGCCCGTGAGGGAGAGGTGGTGGGGAGGTTGGGTCAGCACCTGTGGCCAGAGGGCCATGTTGACTGGGAGGGATCCTGTGCTCCGTCCTGGAGGGAGGTGCAGTCACAGTGCAGTTCACATGCCCTCTAGAGCGGGGATGGAGGGCCAGGGCTTCCTCCATAGGGGAGTGTGCAGGGGAGTTCGAGGAAGGATGCGGTCCACCTGCGTGCTGGGCTGAGGGCATCTCTGTGCCCGGGAATGAGGACGCCTGCCCCAGCCATTAACTCCTGATCTCGGGGCTCCAGCTCTGGGGCTTCCCCTATGGGTCCCCAAGGAATTGCTGTGCTCAGCCCAACCCCCCGGGGTCCTTCCTGAGAGCCCCTCCTAGAAGCCTGGGACGGGGTGGGCCTGGTGCTAGTCTGCTCCCCTTGGATTGCAATAAAGGCAGCCTTGTGCACCCTGCTCGCCCGCATCTGGTGTGGTTGTAGGTGTATGAGGTCAGGGTCCCCCCTCACCAGGCGGATGCTCTGAGGGCGCCCTGCAGCTGCTGGGCCCACCGCAGCAATGAACCCAGGCTTCGGCTCCTGGATGGATACACAGTCTCAGCCTGTGGCCACAGCCACATGGTCTGTGCTGCTTGTCCAGCTGGGATGATGGGGATCTGGGGACTTAGGTCTTTGGAATTGTTCCCCCATTTGGAAGAGGAACACAGAGGAAGGACCCCAGGAGGGAAGAGCAGGGCTGGAGGCATGGGGGCCTGCCTCCCCCGCTACAAGGCCACCCCAGGGACCAGCAGCATCTGCCTCTCAGCTGCTCACCGGCCCTTGCCTGCTCCCCAAGCTGCGGAGGCTTCTTCGTCCCCAGCAGCCCCATGCCGCCAGCCAGGCCTTCCTTGCCTGACAGGTAGGCCTCTCGGTTTTGGCACTTCTGACTTCTCTACCTCCTCTTGTGCTCAGGGGATTCTCCCCACTTTTTCCTCTTGCCCCCGTGTGCTCCCGACTCCCAGTCTGCAGACCCGGATTGCCTCGGTGAACTGAGCTGGCACGTGATCCAGTCATGCGTCCGTCCGCTCGGCAGACATACACTGAGCACCTCCGTGCCAGGCCCCCCGTTGACAGCTGTGGGAGGCACAGATACGTGAGGCGGTCTCAAAAGAGAAAGGGGTTCATGGGAAGGGTGTTGGGGCAGCTCCCAGAGCCAAAGGAGTAGCTGAATGATTGGGCTTGAGACGGTGGGAGCCAGCAGAGCTGCAGAGCTCGCCTTCTGGGAGCTGCTGCTGTGGGCGGATCGACACCAACCAGCCCGACTCCCTTCACTCGAGATTCGAATTCCTGTCCTAGAGCTCAGGGCACTGTGGAGAGGGACAGAGGCAGTCTTCCAAAGGACCAGGATTCTTACCAGGAGAATGGTGGAGAGGAGGAGGGTAGAAAGGACTTGGCAGCAACAGCAAAGATAACCCCCTCCCAACACACACACTGTTCTTTCCCCCGACCTATTACGACTCCCCCACACAAAACCAAGAGCAAATTCCGCCCTGCCTGGGTGAGACCATTCAAGGTCACGTCCGGTGACTAAGTCCAGGAGCTACCATTCTCCAAATCCAGTATCAGAAGTGACACTCTTCCCTCTGCTATCACAATCCCATTTTGAAATTCTGCAGCCTGGGGATAAAAATGAACCATAGTCAACCCAAATTCTTGAACCCAGCAAGAGAGGCAGCACGGGTAAGGCCTGAGACCATTTCCAGAACAGGTCACGAGAACTGATGCTTCTGACTAGGGAATTTTCCACCTGTTGGGAGTGACCCCAAGCTTCTGTCTTGAAGTCCGGCTCCTTGGTGGTCCTGCCCTTGCAGCAGGTGATTTTTTAGCATGGCATATGGAGGCCCAGGAAGCACTCTTGGACACCCCCCCCCACCCCCACTGCCTCCATCTGTACTCCTGCCCCCTTCTAAGCAGCAGCAATCAAATTTTCCCTTGAAAGGGTTAATCACCCTACTACTCCCATGACCTCCTGCTGTGTGTCAAGCTCTAAGGAGCCTGTACCAGCCGGGTGTGCCTCAGTTTCCAATGCCTGTGTTGTTATGACATTTTGAGGATGTGTCTCCTTGGAGACCAAAACCTCTGTGCCAGACTTGTCCCAAACCTCAGGCGTGGGCAAGGCATCAAGACGGAGCAAAGTCTCCCCTCTCCACCTGCTTCCCAGCCTGTGAGGGCCAATGAGCACCAGGAGGAGATGCTCGCCAGTTCCGAGAGCTTGTGCTGCCTCCAGCGGGTCGGTCCCTGCCACTCATCTGGCGCCCTGGCTGAGTTTCCAGCAAACCATCTCATGGTCTGAGCAAGCTGACTGCTCCCAGACCGCAGGGATCCTGATCCCACGAGTGAATGCCATAGGCCCCCACCCATTGCTTTACGTCTGCCAGAGAGTGTTGGATGCCCTGTGTGGGGCATCACAGTGATGTCTCCAGCATCTGATGGATATTGACGGTGGGAGAGGCATGACGGAGGGAAAGCAAATCCACATGCAGATAAAGGGCCCATAGTGGCCGAGACCGATTCCTGTCCTCTTGAAATGACAGGCGTAGACTAGGGAGGTTCAGCATAGAGCAGGAGGAGGGAGCATGGAAGGACGTGGGCAGAATTCACGCACGTGGCCTACCTGTGGCGTCAGAGCCCTGTCCTGGAGCATCTCCTTGATGCTCTGAGTGCTTCTGGCCATGGCTCACTGTGGCTGGGTGGGTCAGATAGCCCCAGCTCATGAGGGGCAGCATGGCCCCCCGCTATGCTGTAACCAAGCATTTAGGCTCCCCCAGAGCCCAGTGGCAAGCCAGAGCGCCATGTCTCAAAAGGGTAATGGTTCCTTGTTGGCCAGAGAATCACTTGGTTCTGAAACCTGGGTTTCCCTGCCATTCTCTTCTTATTAGGACTTGTCACAAGCTTCATTAGCCCTCCATTATGCCACAGGCCCCACACGGCTCCCCAATATGCCACAGAGGGACACGTCAAGCCCCCTGGGATCTGTCAGGTCATGGGGCTGGCAGGAGAACCATTCTCCCAGCTGGAGAACCTTCACTTGCTCTCGGCCCAGCCCAAAGCTGGTGGCCCTCTATGTCACTCAGTACATAGGTCAGAACAAGAGGCTCTAAAGTGACATATTTTCTGGAACTGGGTCTTCGTGTTAAGGGATGCAAAATGCGGTCATCTGTTCTATGTTGTGGAGGAAATATCCTGACCTCATCAGACCTCTCAACCCCCAGAAGCTTTACAAGACCTTTAGACCTTTTTTTTTTTTTTTTTCCATTTTCACATGATTTATCTCCCACCTCTGACTCACATATGTCTTATCAAGGCATCTCGGGAAACTGCTGATTCCAGGCTCTATCAGCACGATGCAGCCAGTGTGAGGCAACACTGTGCCGGCAAGGGCAGTGTCCCTGGGGGCCAGGTGGTGGCCCAGAGCGGGTCAGCTAAGATACACTGCCCTCCTGCAGCCCAGCTGAAGATAAACGCTTTCTGAAGTTCTTTGTTCATCAAAATAGAAGAAAAAAATGAATTCACTAGATCAAAGGATTCGTACCGCATATGAGGAGCTGGGATGAATTTGCTTGGCGAGAAGGCCATCTCTGGAAGGGCACCTGCCGTGGGAGACGTCACTTTTTAAAGCTTACAGCAATCCAGAGACTTCCCGGTGTTTTGCGCTGACCAAGCTGAGCCGTGGTGGGAATCACTAGGACTTCACTCTCGAGTCGTCGGTAGTTACACCAATTTCTACACCCCCCCTGGAAATACAGTTCTACCTTTGATTTACAATTTTGGTAGGGAGGGGAATTCCAATGGCCTATGCTTGTCCTATCCTACTCTGGTCACTCTTACCCCACTCATCAGAGCACCACTGTGGGAGGGATGCCTCTTTCAAAGTCTGTCCGTTTCAACCAGTCAGTCAAAACAATCATTGGCTGGCTTTGAGATTCCTCTGTGTCTACCGTGGTGCAAATTCGGTGCAACCATCCCCATGGGTTGGCAGACCGCATGCTTTTCTGTGCTGCCCAGAAACTGGACAGCTTGGCGCCAGTATCCTACGGAACTCCTTTCCCCAGGTTTGGGTATCTTTCTCTTCCTTCTATAATTCCCAGGTAAATGGATGCAGATCACTTTGGGGAAGGCCAAGGAAGGTGGGCAGTATGCATGAAGTGTTAAAGTAAGGTTTCCCTTCAACGATATTTGGCTTTCTCTCCATCGAAGATCTGGAAATTAGTGGAAGATTTTGACTCCATCTTGGCAGCTTGAGACAGACCTTTTTGTCCAACCGGAAGTCTTACATTATTGGTATAACTAGATGATATCTAAGGGACTGTCTGGTCTTCTCTTCTGGGACCCCAGGGTTGATTAGCCGCAGCTGGAGGTCTGGTTTCCATGACCATGACCATTGTGACGACTCCTCTACTTTGTTCCTCATATCCGTCTGAGACCAGGGTGCCCATTTTCATAGCAGCTCTTCCAACCAGCATTCCAGGCCTGGAGAGGAAAGCCAGCAGGGCCTCACCCACGTCTTTCTCATGGCAAGGAGCAAGACCATCTTCTGGGGCCTGTCTGAGGACAGGGAGAGGGTGCATGGGCTGGATGCAGGCAAGGGACCCAATAAAGCGTTCTTTTCTCCTGAAATCTGTGAGCTCGTTTTCTTGGATAGTTGGTCTCTTTCATATAATTCAGCATGGGTCAACATTTGGTCCAGATTTGTGTTATCCACCCCCCCCAACGCTGCAATGGTTACAAACTGTATCCTGCTCTTTGAGATTCTGCATTAAATGTAGATTTTGCTGAGCAGACATATCAATAAATACAACCTGAAACAGAATTATATTCCACCTGTCTCGGTCA